AACTGGAATAATCAATCGGGTAATATTTCATTAAAAAAACGGTGCTAACTTAGTTGGGGGGGGGCACGCGGCGGCGCGGCAGTCTGCTCGCCTGGCATGTTCGGAAATCCGTGGGCCAGGGGGAGTGTAGGCAGTCTAGGGGGTGGGGGTGGGGGCAGTCACTTGACATGCGTGAAAAGCTGGAATGTTCGAGTTTACACTGTCTCGCTCGAGAGAGCCCAGGTGAGCAGACTGCCGCGCCGCCGCGTGCCCCCCCCCAACTAAGTTAGCACCGATCGATGAGTAACATACGCATCGACTTCCGAAGTTTCGCTCACGCGATTTTCCGCCCGTGCGTTTCTCACAGTCGATACATATCAAACTCTTGACTGAAATTCGCCTGCTCCGGACGTTTCGCTTACGCGTTTCCCAATTTCTCAGTCGATGCGTATCTAAATCTTGGCGGAGATTTTCGCCTGTGCGTTTTTTCGCGTAAGGCGGACATCTCTGAACAGGGCCTAAAAAACCTCTAGCTGACGTCATGTATAACTACCGCCCTACGCTCGTGCAATTGCGTTCTCCAAACGGATACCGTATCCCACATCTGAACTAATTCGTTCGTAAGAGGGGATCTGACTCGCGTTGCTCATTTCCTCTTTGAGAGTCACCATTTCAAACCAACAACTCGTTTATAGAATAAGTTCAGGAACGCGTACTGTTGTCGAACATGAACTGTTTATTCTCTATCTCTGTTCTTCATACCAAAATTAACGTGTTCAAAACGGGAAACTTCACATGTGCAATTACAGGAACTATGACTGCTCTTATAGCTATAGTGAATGTAGTTTTATCTGTGCTTGGCTACGTTGTCTGCAGGAGTCTTATAGGAGAGTACATCCCTATATTTATCAGTCGGAAGATGTATGGAAACGACCAGTGCAAGGTAATTTCATCTACCAAATCTTGTCAAATCTTCTGCTTATAAAACACTGGCAGTGAGCTCATGTACTGAATACCAATCATAGAAAATTATCACGCCTTAATAACAATATGTTACATGGAGCAAAAATCATTGCGTTTTGATCACGGATACTGGTCAGTGGTAGGCTTGGGATTACCGCAGCGAAGAAATGGTGAAGTAGCGATGAATAACATATCCGTTGAGGTATTGCTAATATCGATCGTGTACATGAATTATTGACTAGTTGTAGAGGTTTTTTGGGCTTTCTTGGATAGGTACTGATTGCTGCGCCTGTATCCATCCAGTGGATGGAAGCCTCGAGAGGATGCTCTACCATCCTCTCGAGTATAGTACAGTGCTGGTCATGAATGCTACCTAGGATATTCTCAGATAAGAAGGAAAATTTGAAACAAGTCTTGCAGGAATTTCTTTCCAACCTGACATTTGTGACTTCACCGTGGAATAGAAATATGGTGGAGTTCTAGACATTTTGTATGAGTGTATATTTCAGAAGACCAATGATCCCATACCGGAGCCAATGGGGGTAATCTGCGCTGCTGCTTATCTTATTGTCATGTTTGTTTTCATTCCATTTCCGTTCATTGAGTGGATAGAAGCTGAGTGAGTTTTTATACCTATAATCTGTTTGGGAGTGCTTGTTGTTCTCGAATTTTGTAACAGTTTGGTTAAGGACGAGAGATAGTCACTCCGTGCCTTTTGAAGTGTTTGCTGGTAGCTAGCTAGGCAAGATACATATAAGTTACAGATTGTTGTATTTGTTTACATCTATCTACAAAAATTTGTGATTTCTTGTTCATTTCACTCAGCAAGCAGAACTTTCTTGGGGGCAGCTAAAGCAATTCTTTTTCAACGATGGCGGAGTAGCTTCCGGGGATGGTTGTGGACAATAGCATGCCTTCGATTGAAGTTGAGTGTTGAGTAGTTCCTGGAGATTCGTGAGGCCCTTCCGAGGTTTTTCCAGAATTCTACTTTTTCATTCGCTTTAGGAGTGCCTTTCCTCATACGAAGTTTCTTGCATTTCTGTCGGCGTTGATTTCCATATGTACGGCCATTCTGCTGGGATTTGCTGATGACGTTCTGGACCTCAAATGGCGCCACAAATTGGCTTTTCCTACGCTCTCTTCGCTGCCTATTCTCATGGTTTACTACGTATCAGGTGAAAGTTATTATTTAGTGCCGTCCAGGAGTCCGCATTCGTTCGACGAAAATGTTAACAAAATTCTATTGCTTGGGCACCGCTCCCAGTTCACGATTTTTTGCAGCCCGCTTGCGATTGCGTGACGATCGAATGGATTTTGATGTGCAATCCTGCAAAGACATGATCGTATGATGTCCGTCAGACGAGGTACAATCACCAAGTCTGACGGACATTTAAAACACCTTTTTTTGTGGGAAAACCTGCTTGTTCACCAACCCCTTTCAATTATTTTGCTACATTTACATTTTGCTACATTTAGTTTCTCAATTGGTTGTTTAGCCCGATTTTTCAAATTCCTGTCTCTTCATCAAAATGTGGGACAAAAGGTTTCAGTGTGATCAATGTAGTTGTGTTGAGCCGTACTTAGAACGGAATGTGGCGGCAAAGGAGCCAATGCGCTGTTGTTTTGCGATTCCGTAGGAGTGCTATCCTGAGATTACATTTGCACTAAATCGCTGGACACTGCCTCGCATTTTTAAAGTCAAAAACATGTCGAATCAGTTCATCTAAGTACGATTTACCGCAAAGAAGAAGGGAAATTGAAAGACAGCAAGTCACAGCCGCTGTATAGTAAGTAGATGTACCTCGCTAACGATGTGTTATTGGCGTACATAAAACGGAAATCGGAATTGTTGATATTTACATATTTACAAAAGTTTGATCACCGTCCTTTAAGCATCTTGTCAGCCAGAGGGAGAGGTGTTTTCACGATTGCTGAGGGGTAGTGGACGCGGTGCAGAGCGCGTATAGGCACCAAGCCAGGGATATTTCCAAAATGTGTCGAAACTTTTCTATTGGAAACGTTCCGCAGGGAGAGTTTCACGGGTTTTCCGATCCTTCGCTCATCCAAATATGGCCATGAGCGTTTTGTCGAATCGGGCTTTTCGGACCTAGGAGTCACGATATTAACAACCCTGTATTTCCCCTTCTACAGTTCGAACGTTTCGCTATTCGAAGCACTTCATCCTGATGCGGCAAAGTAGATGACTCAGAGCTACTATTGTAAGGATTAGTGCAATCACCAAGAAGCCCTGAGCGAGACCTAGCCCCTCAGTGTGATTCTTTGGGTAAAACACAATTTCGTGCGGCTGCAGAAAGGCGGATGTGTAGAAAGCACATAATTCGACTTATTAATTAGAGTTGTTTAGGAGGTTCGACTACTGTGATAATACCTTCCGCGGTCCGTACGTTGCTCTCTTCTGTTCTACCATCTTCTATTTCCCCAAACATTCCTGGTTCAATTGATATAAATGTTCTCTACTATGTGTTCATGTGCATGGTGGTCGTTTTCTGTACTAATGCCATCAACATCTTAGCTGGTAAGTATGTTTTTGATGAGGCCATTTCTACTCTAAACACCAAACACGAGCGCCATATGAGCGTCTAATACTGATAATTGGTTGGGTAGAGTGCGTTAAATTTCTTGAATCAATCAGGTGACACCACTGCATCTATGCTGTGTTTTATATTTAACCTTTGTTTTAGAAACTAGGGGAGCTTATCTTTTGCGAGCTAAGTGTTTTCCTCATGTTCTTCACAGTGCATTAGAAACGCTGAAAGGCGGTAGATAAGGGAGTTGCAGTGCTCATAATTCGAGCCATGTTCTACTTCTGAAGCGACGAAACGAACGAAACCTTTGCCGTAAGGAATCTGCTACCTCGGTACAGAAGTGTAACATACAAAAACAACAAAAATACTCAGATTTCAAGATGCGAGAGTTTGATGTTTTGCATTGAATCTATTTATATTCTTCTCGCTCAGTGCTTTTCTAACTTCTTATGTTACTGATCAGTAACATCTTCTTTGTATTTTTATCGAATTATTTCCTTCATTTCCTTCTCTTCTGTGTTCTATTTTTTCTCAAAATTTATGTGAATATAAGAAAGTGATGTACTGACAATGCAGTGCAAGGCGATATCATAGGGTTACTACGATGAATATACAATATAGGACATTTTATATAACCGGGATTGCCGTCCCAGAGCAACACGCAGAATATGATTCTTCCAAGAATAATTCAGTGCAAACGCCGTTAGGCGTGTACCTCCATACATGTTTGTCCATGTAACACTCTTTCTCTGGAATGGCGACTTTGAAACTTGGAAAATGCTAAGTGAACCAAACAAAACGATTTTTTCCGCGGGGCTGCGTAACATGGTGGACCACTCGGTACGTCCAGAGCAGAATATGCTATTCACAAGAACGACATCAAATGAAGCGTAATTTACCAGCCGAGGAATTGCAGGTCTCACCAATTGAACTTCAGCTTTTTGCTTATAGGAATAAACGGACTTGAAAGTGGACAAGCTATTGTTGTAGCTGTTAGCGTGGTTGTTTTCAACTTGGTGCAGGTATTTTGCTACAGTGTTTTTACTTACTGAATTTGTTTTGGTGTAATTTTTCCGATAATGTTTTGCATTCCTATTGCCTTTGTTAGCGTGATGAATCACTTGAATGCTCAAAAAGGCGCATGGACGAGTTTGTAGACACAGTCGCGTCGCGGTAGTAGGTCGCGCATGTGGCGCATTTCGCTACTTTTCAAGCCAAATTTCTCCGATTTGCGCTCCATTAGTCTTCTTCTCCCATTGTCGTTCGCGACCGCCCTTTTTTCGAGCATTTAGGTCTGTTTAATACTTGGCCATTAACGGGTTACGAAAGATGCATCAGCGATCGGAGTATGTGGGGAAGTGGCGAGAGTCCCTTCAGTTCGCAGTTGGCTCTTGATATTTTCCAGACTTGCAAAGGCATGAGAGCTTGGGAAAGTGGCTAGAGTCTTGTGTAAACGAGAGCAACTTTCCTCACCTTCTCGAATCATTGGTGATCATTCGAAGCTTTGTTGCATCCTCGAATCGCTGGACTTGCAAGTCTAACCCCAGCCTCACAGTGATGATGAACGAGAGACAGCTTTCCAGATTGCTCGTACTGATGAATGTTGGGATCATTTGTTATCGTTATATTTTCTTATACCTTTTCTCGGCTGCACAACAGCCCTTTTCCAGTTCAACAATGTGAGTGTTTTTCGTAGTCTGTGTTTTATATGGTTTCATACATTACTTGTGTCTTCGGTTTAACTGAATCAATAGCGAATTGTTGAAAATCTCAGTTTAGTCACTGCGCGATAATTCATAGAAATTGTTGGTTTGTCTGTTCCGTTCAACACAATTTTTAGGTTTGGTTTCAATCCACATTCTTTTCGAAGTTGACTCAATTGTTTTTCAGTATCCTGCGCGTGTATTTGTCGGCGATACATTCTGTTACTGGGCTGGGATGACACTTGCTGTTGTGTCTATTTTGGGCCATTTCAGCAAGACGATGATTCTTTTCCTATTACCGCAGGTGAATTGGGAACGCCCTCTACCCACTTGGTTGCGCAGCTAGCATGTAGAAAATCTCTTTTCTTCACCAAGAACTGTGTTCGTTACAGGTGTTCAATTTTCTTTACTCCATACCTCAACTATTTAAACTGGTGCCATGTCCAAGGCATCGCCTGCCAAAATTTGATGAGACAACAGATACGGTAAGTTTTAGTCAGTTTTTTTTTCGTTGAAATCCCTTGTGAAACATTTGTGTTACGCTTTTATCAATTTGTCAGAAGAGTTTTAGCCGCTTTTTACAGTTCACGTTTCAATACATCGGGTCTAGTCGTTTTTTTAAAAGACTGCTAAACATTACGTATTATTAGAAAGCGCGATTCCCATGAGCGAGTCGCCATAACCTTCTTCTGCAGCCTTGCAAAAGACGTAAAAAGGTTGAAAAGGTGAAAGTCGCATCACAAAAGTGTCTTAAGGAGGGCCTTTATTACCAGGTATCACATAAGGATCGCTCCGATCACTTGAGGGATTCGCAAAGAAAATAGAGCAGGGAAAAACGACGGCTCATCCTAGTTTCTAGTCCGCGTGTATACTGCTTCTTAGAGCTCTGAACGTCACGTCTGAAGCTCATAGCATCGCCACCAAGGTCAACCGCCCGTTGTGCAAAGAGGGTCGTATTTGATCAGTAGAAGAGGAATGGGTCGCAGCCCTAAGTAATATTCGCGAAATTGGAAGCTGCCAAAGTGCCAGAGGAACGCAAAATTTCGATGCAAAATTAGAAGCT